CCGAGCGCCGGTAGCTCCACCTTCCCCTGCGGCCGCAGGGGGCGAGCGACGGTGAGAGTAAGAGGCACCGCGACCCCGCCGGGCCCTGCCGAGGACAGGCGGCACTCCGGCCGCGCTGCCTCGGCCGCGCCGGCGCCCGCCCGGGGGAGGGACCCGGGGCTCTCCTGTGCGCTGTGACCTCATGGACCGGGCGGTTTTTTCAGGGCCTTTCGGACGTTTCGGTTCGCTAGGCCTGGCCCGTACCTGTACAACGCGACAAGGGTCTCAATATGCACCAGGAGGATGAACACATTTCGTTGATGCGAAGGGGATTTCTCTGGTTCAGCACTTCGAGTGGCACAGCCTAGAGAACATGTTCACTGGCACGTGAAAACATACTGGAGTCCCAACAGCAAGGGAATCTCACATTTAAACATTCCAACAGAAAGGTACCTTCACCATCACACCATCTCTCTTCTACCTTTCTACTTTCTGCCAAAAGTCTCCCAGAAATTATCTCAGAGTAGCATGTGTACTTGTACCAAGCTTGCTGGATTCGTTTGGAGGTTATTCCCACACTTCTGCCGCTGCATTATCGCAGAAGCACTGTGATCAGAGGATGAGGAAAGCCACTGCAGCATGACACCTAATCACCCCTTTCCCTCTTTGCCAGCTCCCAGGGCTCCCACATTTCTCCTTGATTACACCTTAAGACACCCGTTCCTCTCCCATTTCTTTCATTCAGTCTCTTGGTTTAATCCCTTTCTTACAAAAGGGCTTTCAAAAAAACCAAAAAGGAGCCAACACTTCTTCAGTGAACTTAGCAAACAGGCTTTTATAAAGTGAGGCAAACATATTGAAGTAGTGTCACAAGTAGCTGAGTTTCCTGGTTTTTGTAGCAGCAAAATATGTTCTGTTTGGAGTAATATTATTTATTGCTCTAATGAGATTACGTGCAGTTTTACCCCTTCATCAGAAAAATAAACAACAGGCCCACCAAAAACTCAACAAATGCCCATCATAGCTGACGCTTCAGGCACTGAGACAGTTTTAGGATTATTCGGTAACTGTGGGTACAGTAGCAGATCAGATCACCTGACAGAAGGCCAGGCCTACCTCAAAAACAAAAAAAACCCAGGTGCTTGCTGTTTTGTTCAAGATATTTGAAAATTAATGACCTTTTGTGGTAAAGGCTTGAAATTAAAACATCTACTACAATTGTTATGCTCCAAGGAGCAAACCATGTAGAGGAAAGTATCACATTTCTGTAATTGCAGATTTAAGCTCCAAACATTAGAGGAATTTCTCTTCTCATAAATAGAGAAAAAATCACTAGTGCTTCTAAGCACTTTTTGTATAGAAAGTGACACATGTATTCTTTTTTTTTGAATTTATGTCAGTAAAGAAGAAAAAAGGTAGAATGACTAAAATTACAGGTAGAATGATTAAAATTATAGCAAATCTTCAAACCCTTAGAAGCATTTTTCTTTGACACTAAGAACTTGCTTTTTTTCAGATGCCATAAGTTTACTAATTGGGGACATGCCAATTGCATACAGTCCTGACAGCAGGAGTATCAGTCACACTACCTGTTGAAAACAGTTTCTGTATCTTTTATTTGGTTTCCCAAACTCAGAAGTTAAGCAGAGGTTAGAGTAATATGAAAGTACAGAGGCTCTACCTAAGTCACTGGTAAGAAGGGGAGTAACCTCCTGTTTCCTTTTTTTCCCATACTGTTAGAAAATAAGGAAGCAGATGAGTAGGCCAGCTGGGACTTTAGGAACACTGCAGTACTGCAGGGCAGGAACTTGAACAGAGCAGGAAAAAAGAAAACTGATTAAGGGGTAATTATATGGGGGCAAAAAAGCACTAAAGGTGACCAGTAACATGGCACTTGAGCCTTTGTCCATCCTTATTTTGCTAACTCTGGGGTAGGACATGTCTTACTGTAACCTTTACGGGATGGACTAGGCCTGAAGAGGATATAAAAAGCTTTTACAGTTGCTAAGGCTCATCCTTAACACTTTGTCCACTGTGTATCATCACTCTTGTTACTTTCTAGCAGTGTAAGTCAAACTTCTTTGGCAAAACTCTTTTTCCTTTACCAGCACAGTACTTAAAATACTCATATTTGGAAAAGGGGCTAATTTACACCACAAGAGAATAACAATCCTTAATGACACACTTCACATTTTAACGCTTATGTTTTATCTTGTGTGGAAGTATCCAAGTGTACCAGGAAACACTGCAAATTACAGCATTCCATACAATAGCAGCATTTTACTCATGTAACAGTTCTTCACAAGGAATTACATGCGTACAGACCATACAGAACCTCCTTTCCATACTGTATAACTTATCATTACAGCCAAGCTGACAGAGAACCTGACAGTTTAAGATAAAGAAAATTCCCTGCCCAACCAAGCGTAATTAAGATCAACATTAAAAAAAAGGACAGAAACAATTAAGATAAATAAATAAATTTTAAAAATAGCTGCCTCAAAGTGTTAGCAACTACCAAGACAAAATAATATTCAGTGTCCAAGGATTTTCACTTTTCTACTCTTTAGAGAGTATATCTATACATGCATATGACATTCCCAGAAGGAAAAGCAACAGAACTCCATTCTGTCCTATGTTAACTTTTTTGCAGACTTTCTAGAGTAATAAAACACAAGTGATGTATCCTTGCTAAAAAAAATTCCTGAGCAGTCCCTTTTGAGTTGGTTGGTTTTTTGTTTGATTTTTTTTGATTCGGGGAAAGAAAGTACAAGAAGCTCCATTTGACAATTATTAGATGTGTTCTGTTCCACAACATGATCAGGTGCCAGAAGAAAAGCATGGGAACAAAACACCAAACAAGTGTACCTGGGTTACTCATGGATAACACACCAGATTCAACCTCTCGCTCTGCCCTAAGCCTGTCCTTTCCAATGCAGACAAAGCAAACTACCCACTCCAAGTTTAGTATGGTACCCTTGCTTGGAACACAGCAGCCAAAAGTTGTACATATTTTGGACCCTTTTAAAAGTAGAAAGGATTTTAAATTAGTCTGGGAAATTCGAGCACAATGAAGGCATTGGCAAGTATAAAATTGGAATTACGATGGTATCTTAATTAGCTGATACAAGCTTATTTTCTTTACTAGGTACTGCATGTAGAAAAACATCAAAGTAGTACCAGTGTTTGTTATGGAAAGCTTTTATCACGTCCTGTAGATTAACTGCTCTCCTTGTGCTACAGCTCTAGTAGGAATAAAAAGGATTACAGGATGACAGCAAGATGCACTTTGAACACTTGTTAACAAGAAAGAAAAAAACTCCTTCACATGTAACTGTTTTTTTAGGACTTTTATTGAAAAACTTTAAAACCAAAAAATCACCAAGGCCAGCTTTACAATAAGTTTAAGACATACAGAATGGCTTACCTGCTACATGGATTTAGTGCAGGAATCTTACTCCAGTATTTCCCTCATGCAATTGCTGGATTAAAATCACATTCTCTTTTAACATCAAAATGGATTATTTATACTTTCTTAGGCTTTAACCTTAAAATCTGGTTTAAAAAGTCAATTTCCCAAAGGTTAAAAACATGTACACAGCAAGATTCCCCCCTTCACAGACCACCTAATAGCTCCCTGTGTCTGATAACTGGCAGAAACAGATCACAGAGCTCCTTTTTCCTTTTTGATACTCTAACCTGAGAAATTTCTTAAATAATGCTTACATATTTGGCAACACGACTTTAGCTACAGAGCAAAGTGTAATTTCTCATTCTTGTCAGAAACCAGTCTTTCACTAGTTGTCCCAAAAGACACACTCACAACCAGGAGTGGCACTGGCCTAAATCTTCATCTGTGAATAGAATGATCTTTGGATAAGTTAAACCTTGTTACTAATACCATTGGAACACTAACCTCAGGATGTCAAGTTCCCATCAGTTGTGTAATTCCCAGTATTGTGTGCTTTGAAAATATTTACTTTAGCATGTTATACTTTGTAGCGTAGTTGATTTTTTTTTGTGCTTACTCCTGGCCTTTACAAAATCTGTCTTTTCTCTCTTGCATTTATTCAAGCCCTTTCCCTTGCCACCACATATCTCCCTTTCTCATAGCTGCAACAGAAACAGAACAAAAAGCACACAATTACATTTAAAATGTGAGAGCTACAAAAGTTGCTGAACAGCAGTCTTGTAAAGCACTCTTAGTTGATGAATGAGCCTGTAAACTGTAAACCCTGTAAATCTCTTAGTACAGTATTCAAGCTGCCAATTTAAAATTTGTAAACTTACTTATATTTGAATTCAAACCCTCCAATATTTGGTGTTTACAATATTTTGTATTTAAACATGTTAGTCACTTCACACTTGCTCCTAATATATACAAAGCCAACGCTCTCCAAAGAAATTATGAAAAACCCCTTGAGAGAAGCAATTTCACTTCCAAAAGAGCAGAACTTCTTTTGCATTTTCAGTAAATTTGTATCTTAAATAATTTGGGTTATTATGAATTGTTGCTCTTCAGTTTTACCTAAACATACCTGATTTTCAAGTGAACCATGACTTCTTCACAGTTAGTCCTGTCAGAGTAAAATTCAAGAAAATATATAAACCGAGCTTTGTTTGCTCCATACTCTGCCTACTAAAAATCTTCACACTAACCATGGAGATCAAAAGTGCTTGATTGGAAAGGTGCAGAAGTTGAACATCCTGAGAAATGGCTGGGTTTTTCAATTTGTTTCAGTGTAACCCTGGTCATGACTGTACTAAAATTAATACTGAAGTGTTCCAGTTTTCAACCTCTCTGCGAATTGGCTTTAAGAGAATGTTGCAGGAGATTACCACAAAAAGAGACATGGAGAGATACCACATACGGTCACTACATGACAACCTTATATGATAGTGTACTTTGTTGGCATTTTTGATCCCAAAAGAGGCTTTTTTCTTAAGTGTGTTCAAGATCCGAATTTCTCCATTGATTTAAAAAAACCCAAGTGATGAAAAATAAGGAGCAAACCAAACTGTTTTAAAAACATTTAGTCTCATGTATTTTTTAAATTATACAATGAAAGTGTATTTTGCATATCAGCACTGAGTGTACTTTAAAAAGGACTTCTGTTGAAATATTCCCAGCAGGTCTTCATAGCACCATATAATCTGCTATTGATTTAATTGCCTAAAAGCAGCCACTGTAAATGATGAAATCTCTATCTCTTCTACCATTCTTTAAAAAAAAAACTAGAAATTTTTGTTATCCAACTGAATTAATGTAAAGAATTAATAAACAGACAGTTGATTTTCACTTATTCCAGTTTTGTGAACCTGACTGATGAATTGCTACATGATCCTTCTGGAACGGCACGGTTATTTCAGTGGCAGAAAAACTTCAAGGATGTATTGAATGAAAACGTCTCTCACTTTTCATTGAATTGTCAGTCTCTTTTTGCAAGATTAGATGCTGCCCCTCCTATTACAGCTCATTTTCAATTCATAATTGAAGAGAAAACCAGTGACAAACACACGAGGCTGAGCACTGGCAAAGCTGTAGTAAAATACAATGGGAGTAGCAAGGGCACAAGGAAGCAAGAGGAAACCAAGGCATATGGAACAAACCAGAAATACACTAAACACAAGAGAGCAGCTTAGCCATACAGCGCATTTTACATTCTTTCAATACTTAGATTGGTCTATTTTCCACTGACACACAATTCAGAATTGATTCAGAATTCAAGGAATACACAACCTGATTAGACACAAAGTACATGAATGCTGACAAACGCTGCCATTGATTTTTCACAGGTAATGCTGAAGCAGCTGTGTCAGAATGGCACTGGGTTGAAATGAAAGTAATGCTGGTACTTCACCATTTCCAGTTATTGTTACCTACAACAGCCAAAGTCAGTGGCTACTCAATTTTGCAAGCAGCTTGTTTTCCAAATACGAGTTCCAGTACACTGAGTTACAAATGAGATCAGTTTGAATGCATTATGAAGATTTTTCAAACAGCGTATTTCTGAAGAAACCGGTCAAACGCATCGTAAATTGCTTGTCTGAAACAAGGTAAAAAGAAGATAATTTGTATAATTTGGGAAAGGGAAGATATAAGGGTGTATTTTTATATATTTACAAATGTATATACAAAGCTATCACACAAGTTCAAAACAGCATTCAATAAAAATGTGATATCAGGTAGTGTTTTCTCCCTCCTTTATTTCTGGGATCTCTCACTTCAATTCAGTAATATATTTATGTTTCAGGAATGAGGGACTATTTACCAACTATAATGTGAGTGCAAATGTTAATGAATTAGTTTTCTATTCAAACACATCAGAAAATGGGTCAAAGACATGCAATTTTTGATAACTGTCATAAAATAAGGTTGAAGTTTTAAATAGCAATAAACTAGTGGTCAGTACACCTTGACTTGACATAGTGGTATTCTTTTCTGTTGTTGCTTAGACTGCCTAAATGGGATGTACAGTCTAATTCCTTATATTTTAAAATTAACAGCACAAGTATTTAACTTTTTAGAAACAGAACTGCATTTATATAACTGATTTATATAACTGTCTTTAGAAAGTCAATACCTAATATTATAAGGCAAGAATTCACACAAGTACTACTACTCATTTGCAGCCAAGCTTATATTTTAATAAAATCTAGACTATTTTTAAACTTTTCTGTTCACCTTACCTAAAGAGTCCTTGTTTGAAGAGGTAGGCACTGACATGACCTCCATCCAGATACCTAATTTCACACCCCGGCCAGATTTCTTGAAGACTGCGCACCCCAGTACGAGGAATATATGCATCCTCCTTGGCTTGTACAACTATGATTAAACTTGGGTCAACTGGAACTAAAAAACAAATCAAAAAATTGAATTCATCTAAGATAAGAAACAGAAACACGACAACTAAGATTTCTGTTGCAAAAATGCTATTTCTAAAAAAATTAAATTATTCTAAGCTTTAATAGAATTTATCTGTTGTTTGATGTTACAGTAGTGAGGCTATCAGCAGAAAAACAAACATCCTATCCCTTCCCTCCCCTAAAGCAGAAAACTTCACAAGTCTTTGAGGAATGATAGAATTGTCTTTCCTCTTATCAACAAAACTCTACAGCATTCACATCAGTTCTTTGAGATCTCTTTTTTTCAGCAAAAAGAACTATGAAATTCAGAAGAGCTTTATGTAAACTTTTTTCCTTGAGGAGAGGAAAAAAGACTTTTAATACAAGGTCAGACAAAGTGCAGCATATGTTCACTTTCTTTTCTGTTTCCTACAAGGTTTAGCTGCAACATAAAAATCCCAACATACTGTTGTATATATTTACCATTTATAACCAGAATTGCACCAATCAGATTATTAACAGGAACAACATCAAAATGATGTTCAGAAAAAGGACAGCAAAATGATGTTGAACATAGAACATTCCTCTCTTCAAGAAAAAACTATACGTGGTATGTTAAAGAGTGACCGAACAAGATGTTTGGCAATGGGGTGTCACAAATCACTTAGACCCTTCCTTCTTTCATCATGTATAGAGAACACGCAATGCTAAGACAAATTCTAGTCTTTCGTTCCACTTTCCATGAAATCTGAATGTTAGGCAGATTTTCTGAAGCTCCTCTAGCCACATTTCAAGGATACCTGGCAGGGGATGCAACGTCTCCTAGAGCATGACTGACACCTAAGAGACTACTGACAGGAAGGAGTACATCACTTTGACAAGTGCATTAGGATCACAGATCCTCTTAAGTTTCAAGAAAGGTCAGTGCTTTAGCCAAGTGATACCTGGATAAGTCTAGATAAACAAGAATGTGAGTACTTAGAATAAAGCTTAAAGGGCTTTTTCTGTCTACTGAAATAACTTTGAAAGCTTTAAGGGAAGCACTGCACCAGTATTTGTCATAAAACATCTCTGGCAAGCAGTGATCCAAGTCAAGAAATCTACTTTAGTGTAGATATCTTCGGATTTTATTTTATTTTAATATTTACCAGTGGATTACTAAATACCAAAAGTCAAAGCAGGTACATGCACAGCTGAACCATTTTGTCTGATATGACTGCCACAAAAGCAATTCCAAGCCTCCACTCCAGGAGAACCCTTTCAGACAGCTCTAGAAAGCAAGCACTTGTTTGCATTGCTGCAAGCAGGCAGTGTAAAGGATTTGTCCAAAACGCCAAGGAAGGCTGGGCTACAGCTCCCTCTATATGCTATGCCTGTCCTGGGAAACTATATTCTTCAGGCTGCACTATCACAGAAGGACCTCTGTGTGTTTTTACTGGTCATACTTGTCTAGCAGTGTCATTCAAGCTTGGTTCTCAGCTAGGCTATTTTCTACCTGAAGTCAATATGAGATTTCTGCCTTACGAAACTGACTTGGAAGACCTTATTAGCAGATTAGTTCTAGGTATCACTCACATTGCACAGGTGTTTTGTTCTTTCAGATAATACAAATTTGCACTAACTCATATCTGAGAAGAGCACAGCAAGGCAGAGGAGAAATGAGCAAAGATACTGAAAAGCAAATTTTTAATTCACTGTGTCATTAGTTGGCCATCAAGAAGGAATAGAAAAACAATTATGAAATGGAGTGGTAAACAGACATTACTGAACAATGCTCACAATATTTCCATATTTCAGCTAAGGGGCCAGCAGCTTTACACATGGAGAATTACGAAAATACCTCTCTTCCACTGTATTTTACTCAATTTTCCAAAATGCACATTGAAACAAATAGATACATACCTGAGAAGTTAGCTACATGGGTACATTCATCCATTACTCCTTTCATGAACCTTATGGATTCTCTCTGTAAAGTGTCACTCTTTCTTCTTGTATTTATCCTGCGTCCTTGTGGGCCAGTTAAGTTTTTATTGCTACTGCTACTGGTTGAAAATGTTTGATTTATGCACTGCATTTTAGGAGCATCTTGTATTAAGAGTCTTTCTGAAGAGGCACTTAGAGTACTTTTATTTGTGGTAAAGCTGTGAACAGCTTCTTTAGATACCGTAGTGCTCATGGACTCGAGGTTGAACATCCTGGAGGTAACATCCATATCCTCCAGACTGTGCACACTATCAGGGAAGTTTTTAACAAAATCTTGTCCCATCTTGAAAGAATCTGTCTAAACAAAGACAAAAGGTCATTTATTAAGGGTTATTCCCTTAAACTAGTTGGTTAATCTTATTTTTAAGATGAACTCATTATTAAAAAAATTAAGAAGATACAAAAAGCACTCATTATAGTAGTTGTTATTTCCAGTTTGCAAGCTACTCAGTTAAATCCTGACCACCATAACCTCTTGATAATTTCATTCTACGTTTCTATCATCTTAAAAAAATGCAGGAATTACTTATATATATGGTAGCTTATGATACAAACACATTTGCTTTTCATTTTGTATTAAACTCTGAAATTGTAATTACCATAATTTAGGCCTACATGACATAATAATAAGAAAATAAATATATGTGACCAGGTCTATTGTTAGGTTTAGGCCTGAAAAATCAACTGTCTCTAAATACTAGGGAGACACAAGAGTTATAAACATCTTGAAATGTTTCTTCTTTTCATTTTGTCTTCTCCATCAGTGTTCTGGAGTGTATTTGACTTAAAAATGGCAAGTGCCCAAGTAACTATCTCCACCCCAGCTCCTCTTCTCCTGTTGTAAGATATTTGAAAAAGAACTGTCACAAAGCAAAGAATCTTAGGGAAAAAAAGTTATTATTAGAACTTCAATTGAACACATTTTATGTCACAGATTACATTAAGTGTGGTTGCAGGAAAAACTGTAGCAAGGGCTACACTTAACACTCACTAAACAACCAAAATATTAGCTTTATTTTTCAGGTTTTCCTTCAAAGATTAAGTTTATCGAAAGCATAAAGAAACAACATGCAGGTATGTTTTAGCTAACAATTGTCCACTTTTAGTGCAAGTAAAAAGAAGTTACATTATTTGTTAGATTTGCACATGTAAATATTAGCAAATAAGGAAAATAAACTATACTTACTCCACAGTATTCAAGCATTTGAATTATTTCTTCTTCATAAACAGTTTGTGTAAAATACTGTTTCTCGAGCTCTCTCCAGTTCACTGCCTTGCTCAACACACCCTGAGATTATAAACAAAAACATCAAGCACACAAGTAAAACCCAGAGATCACTCTAAAATAATGATACAGAAAAAATTGATCTGTTCCCCTTGTGACTTATTTTCCCAGTGGAATTCTGCCCAAGTTCCCAGACAGCACTTAAAATTATTGCAATCAAAGCATAAGCACACATTATAACACAGGGCACAGAAACTCACCTCCCCTGCGGCCAACTGAAACTTTTTAACTTACATTTCTGATTATCATGCAACAACATTAACAAAAATATATGTTAATTACCGTAGTAAAGACTGCAGAAGCTGTTGACCAGGAAAGACACGGAATCAATGGCAATGGTTTAGGCCAGTTTGTCACTGCCAGTGAAGCCATCTAGAATCAAAGGCACTTATTACACATTTTAATATTGAATTCACAATATGCTAGAAAGAACTCTCTCATTCTCAGTTTCTTTGTTTATATAGTATCTATCAAATACATGGCACCAAAGCAGTTAAGGACTGTGGCAGTTGGATATATTTTCACCTATTTAGAAGTTACAATCTATTCTTCAGTGATTTTTCTAATAAGCATTGCTCTGGATAGAATTCATTTCAAGCTGAATGGGGCTTTTTTGTAAGAATTCCCAGTGGAATATTAACTAACTACTCCATTAATTATAATTATAGCCCCATTAATTATAATTATAATTACATTAATTATCATAATAATGATAAAAAATAATACAATATATTAGTTGTTTAAAGCTATAAAAACATCTACAAAGCTTTTTATCAAGCTCTTGCAAGTTTATTTCAAGGTAAAATAAAGTCAATCTATGAGAAGGGCTATTTAAAATTCTATACTTTTGAAATTTGCATACTGGAAACAAAATATGAAGGAGAAGTAATTCAGCATGTTAAGTTGTTAAGTGAACTCTTTTTCTGTCCTTTAAGTTTAAATTATTACTTTTACATCAGTTCTCAGAACACATTTTTGTTAATATTCTGTTTATCCCAGAAAAAAACAGAGCAAATAAGTTCAGTGTACAGAAGTTCCCTATATGGTATGTCCTTGACAAGTTTTATTTTATTATTGCTCTAAACAGAACTGCTTAATACAAAACACCCCATCTCTGTGTCAGACATTCTAACAAATGGATTTATACAACTGAACTGTAATTCTACTATAATTATTTTTGATTAATAAAAGTTACAAGAACACCACATATCTATATGTTCTAATAGCCAGAAAGTCTGACTTCTTTTCTCTTTGTTCCAGCTTTCCCCAATAGAAGAACTGAATCAATGCTACCTACCTTCCCTTGTAAAACACATTCTATAGAGGATCAACATCAAATATCAGTTATTTCACTGGTTTAAATTGTACCAGAAATCCTGTAAGTAAGTCAGGACTAACCAAAAACGTATCTTCCTGGACTAAGAAAAAAAATTTCAAAGGAGTTTCCAAACCCACTTTTCTCAGATCTTGCCTCCTTCTATGCCCATGCTGGATATAACCATTAGTACAGGATATAGAATTTGGTGGTTACCACAGCATTTGAACTGTCGTGCATGGTTAGTGCTGCATATACCAGTCTGAGAAGGCCAATACAGCTTACAAATAAGCCAAGGAAGGAATAATACAAAAGTTGTTGATTCAGCAGGGTGATATTTAAGTAAATCAAAGGTGCTCTGTACATTTACAGACATTTAAGAGTTATAAAGTTGTGCTTTAGGGGAAAATATTTCCCTTTCAGTAAATACTACCATTACCAACATTATCTACTTAGCTCCTAACAACAGAAAAACAAAGGTATGTTGTTTTAATAAGCTTTGCACCTCTGTCTCACAGACATCATAATCTGTAGAGACATAAGCAGTAATATTTTAACTGTGTATTAGTCTTTCAAGCATCACTCCTGGTTTAGTCTGAATATGCACAGTGTCATACAGAAAACGTTCTCCACCTCACCACAGAAATCTCTGATCAATACCAATGATCAGGGGGAAAAAAAGAGATGAGTTGAGAATAAAACTGACACTAAAAGTCACCTCAGTCACAATATGCCTACAAAGAGGGGGCATTTCACACAATGCATTACAACACAAAGATTTAATCAAGAAGAATGAAGAAAAAGAGGAAGAATTAGCAATCGATCAGTGCAGACTTTCTTTCAGATAACATTTCTGCCCCCCCTTGTGGAAAAAAACCAATTATGTGAGAAGTTTATATTCTTATTAAGCCTGCCAGGAGATGGCTCTATGATTTGTCAGTACTTATTAAGGATTATACTAATTCAGCACCACAGAACATGAGAATTGCCAACAATTTGTTTCTCATGACTCTAAATGTTTATTTTAAAGTACTTCTGAGATCAACACTGTAAAACAAATTATTTCTGAATGCTACATGATCAAATGAGAAGTTAAAACAAAAATTACTGAACAGGAGATATAAAAGCTTACATGTCCTCCCATGGATATTCCAGTCATCCCTAGCGGTCCATAGCCTTCTCTCTCTAGCCAGTGCAAAAGAGCTGCCGATTCTAGAATTAGAGCTCCTCCCATCACAAACAGGTCCGAGACATTTTTTAAACATGACCGTCTTTTCTCCCCAGAAAAGGAAAATACAGGATTTATTTTCCAAGATTAGACTCTGACAGTTCTCATCATTCTATACATACTTTTGTACAAAGCTTAATCACAATCCCAGAGAATTTTGGAGCTGAACTTCTGTTGATTCAAAAGGTGAAAAAGTAAGCCCAGATTCTCTGGCACGTGCAATTTTTCATCCAAATGCAGACTAGAAATAGGCAACTGCTAAGTTTCTAATGTAATATCACTGACAGCCTGGTCTTTTGGAAACAGACATTATCAACATTAGCTTCTCATTAATAATAATATTCTGTCCTGTGAAGTTATAACAGATATTTTTGAAATAGAATCAAAGTGATACAGTCCTAGACATATACTCCTAGACATACACCATCATTTTTTTTTTCCTTATTTACCTTATTTACATCATTGAAAAATTGCACACAACATTGAAGAGCAATCAGTATGTCAGCTTTGGAAGTGTTCATCAGTGTCACTTTAAGACTGAAACTGTAAAGTGGGAATTTTGTCATGGTACTGAGAAATTTACGTAGTGTACTGCAAAGCATTAAAACACAGGAGACACACAAAAAAAGAAGGAAGCTATTCAGCTGAACCATCAGAGGGATTAAGAATAAAACACCTCTAATTTGGGGAGGAGGACTGTGTATTTTCAGTATCACAGCCACATTACAAAGAGCTCCAGGTCTCTCCTGCCAGCATGCCACCATCGCATTTGCGACACTCTGAAGCACAAGGACAAAGCTTGTTGTGAAGTCACACAGAAATGAACATAGCTGCTGCAGACCAGCATTTACAGGCTAATGGAATTCTTTCCTCAGCTTTGTTATGAGATTCCTCAGCCTTCTCCAGCTGCTGTATTTATTAAACAATGTTACCAGAGTATTAACTAAAACCACTGTTGCTGTGTAACCCTGTGTTGAAGAGTGACAGTTACCTGTTGGGGTATTAGACTGTGCACCCCCCTTAGAAAGAATCTTTCTCTGCATCATACAACTACTAAGATGACATGCTAGACAACTGAGAACAGAGTTACTAAATTTATTCTTCTGCATTGGATCATCAATAACTGGAAATAAACCTACCAATAGATGTATTCCGGCACACACTCTCTCCTGTCACTTTCCTATAATCCTTCATAAATCACCTCCTCTGTGTCTTCTACTCAGGTTAAATGTCAAAGTTAGGATTAAAAAGGATTAAAACACCGACTCATATCTGGACCTTAAGAAATATTGGGAGACTAAAACCACAGCTTTGCCTCAGACACACATTCTTTTGAATTCTGTTAATACTTCTGTGGTTTAGACAATGTGAAAAGCAAAAATACCAGGACCACCTAATTAGGCTACTAAATTCACATTTAAGAACTGACTGAGGGAACAAATCCTGAAAAATACTTAATATTGCATGGCTTCCACTGCCTGAAAACCAACCAACACCATATTTGTTCTTAAAATAATTCTTAAAATTTAAGTAAACTCTTAAAATATCTTGAAAAAGCAAAATATTAGCAATATATACATATAAAAATAACAGGGAAATACCCTATCTGACCAAAAATTATTCATAGTTGACTGAAATATAACTGCAGCATTTGTACATGTGCAGCTGTGAATCAGGAAAATAAAGTGGCACTTGCTTGTATTCACAGAACGTGTCTGCATCTCACTCTATACTGCAAGTTCATCTCGTGCAAACTTTCCTGATGCCTGTGATCTCCTAACACAAAAAAACAAAGTAGTTTAGCAAAGAGTAGACAATTTCACATTAGCAGGTTACAAGTCATCCATTCTTTGGACTTTTTTTTCTTAATAAGCTATCAAAGTTTAGACAACTTTCAGCTCCTTGAGAGAAAATAAAAAGCACTATTTCAAAAAGACAGTATCCAAAAATGTAACAGTAATACTTACATTTGATTCTTAGGTTTTCTACAGCCATGTAAAAGACTCCAGTTAAAGAAAGTAAAAAAGACTATATAAAAACTGGTCATTAGAACAAAACAAAAAAATCAAACAAAATAAATCACATACATAAATAGCATGGATTAACTGAAGTTTGGAATTTACATTCCCAATGTCTAACTGGCACTTAATCAAGTTCAATGTAGTTTGATGATGTAGTTTGCAACATTTTACCATTGTCAGGTATATGGGTAAGAAAAAAGTGTGACCAGAAATTTAATAAAACAGAGTAACACTGGACAAAACTTAACTGTTTTTCAAAAAAAACTCAGATCTTAAGTGCCAGTAGTAAGTTTCTCAAAAGTACCTGAGGTGCGGAAGAATTGCATTTGAGAATGGAAGGCAGGAGAGGCAACTTTCTTTTCTGTCATTAATAGATCCATACTACATCTAAAGTATGGTATGGAATGAATGCATAATTCTCAGTCAGTCACTGCTAAAAGATTCACATTATTCAGATCACAACTTTAATGAATACAGGAAGAAGTTGCAGAAGACATTTTTTAAAAAATCCAAAAAGGCATACTTGGTGTAAAGGTAGCTCATTATGTTAACTGCATTCCACATTGTGTTTCATGCAGTGGCCATACTTTCTTTGCTTCTATGCACTGAAAAGTCCACTGGAAATAGGTCCAAAAAGTACATATTTTGCCAGCAGGATAAGTCTTTTACCTTCTGGACAGAACATTAATAATAACTATTGTGTTTTCCACAAAAGGATATAATAAGGGTTTTCTAGCAACAGGGAAGCCATACAGGCTTCTTTAATCATTGGCCTTGCCATTAGTGTCCGTCTCCTCCAGAAGTGCTAAAGATGTACAAATAATATATATAAGACAAAATGTGATTATTTAATTTCTCAGTAATATTCAATTTTATATTTTACACACTCACATGATCTCCAGTGCCTGCTAAATGAATGCACACAGGTCTGTGCTTGCTGTTCCATCTTCTGGGTATGATGAACTGAAATCTGTGAGAAACGCCTATTTTAGCAGAGTAAGTACATCTATTTACAAGCTGCACCAAGAGAAATTAATCTAAAAAAAATCCCAAAAGACATAATAAAGTACTTGTAATGCATGCAGGCAAACTGCCAGCAATTCAGCAACATCATTTTTCATCAACACATTCAGCAAACAAAGGAATCTGAAAGTAGGACAGAAGGAAGGCCAAACAAGAAAAAGAGCCAAGATGAAAGATCATGTTCCTAAAAAAGACTACTACCTCATCATCACAATTTAAATTTTGCAGAGTGGAGAAATGGAACTTCAGATAAAGAGCAGCCTAAATAAGCATGTCCAGCTCTCCTAGGCAGCATTGCTATTTTTCTCCTGAAGGCACAACAGCTGAAATTGAAGATTAAGATGAGCAATACATTAAAAAAAATAAAAATTCAAAAACCCAACATACAAACCATAAAGTTATTCTATACCTCCAACATCATCACCTAACGTCTTCGGCTGCTACTTAAGTTATTTACAGTCTAACTATTGGAAAAAAAATAATTTCTGAGGCACCAGTATTTTCCTCACAAGATGGAGCACTGTTACCTACAACAGTGTTACACTTAGGAAAGAACATTCATACAATCCACAACCATCTGAAGGGAAATTTGTACAGCATTTCAAAACAGTGACCAAAGTAACAGTTGGCATAACTTGGCTACAAGGTATGAGAGAACATAGATAAGGAAACAACCAGTATATTGTATTTTCCAGTATGGTAGTAATTAGTTCAATAATGTTAAGAGACAGTTTCTTTCTCTGACCAATGGAGAGGTGGAATAGAAATGGTATCTTGACTATAAAACTTTTTCTAACATTCCTTAGTGTCACATGCTTAAGCGCACAAAAACACCAGCCAGTATTACTGACAAAATGTACAATGCCAGTATCAACTTCAGCTGACAAACTTGTACATTTAATTTTTAAGTTAGCAAACAAACAAAGCTTGGGAAAAAAAAATCCATCATGACAGTTAAGCTAAAAATTTAATGCAAACAGAAATTATTCTCCCTTTCGAAACCCAGTCCTCAACTGCAAAGCAGTGCTAGAGTGGAACCATCACTGCTAGAGATCACCTAGCTTTCTGTGAGAATGCTATTTTTTGACCTGCCAAGTAAGAAAGGCATCAGATTCTCTTGCTACAATTAAATGAACTTGCTACTTCAGCACATATACAATATTTTTGTATTCAATGTAAATGGAAAGCTGGAATGGTTCCTTCAAATACAATATAACATGCTTTCATAAAAACAGCCTCTTCTGCTACATACAAAACAGCTATTGTCCCTCATTTCCAGCATCTCACTCATTTGGGAAAAAACCCAAACAATTTAAAAAACCCCAGGGTATTACACAGCTTTGTGCAATATAAGTTCTACACTCAAAAAAAAAACACCCAAAAGAGTTATATTTTGCTAATGGATTTTTTTTCAAAATACAGATTAAGCTATCACATGAATAAGATCTATTGTCATTTTTGAAATCAAAATCTATTTTAACACATTAGTACAAAAAAAAACCCTTTTTGAAATATTTTACAGATAATTTGCATTGCAATAAATTAGCTTATAATTTAAATTACTCTATAAATCAATTAGTCTGTAAATAAAACTACTTATAGACCATTCTCACTTCTCTGCAGCACTAATTTCAGATAGGAAATACCTCATCGTTTCTCTTACCTTGCTACAAGAGATTCGACTGGCAGTATACCTGGGACACAATGTGCCAAGGGGGAAATGAAGTGCCCCTCAAGGATTTTACAGTCGGATTGCCCCTCAACCTACAGACAGAATGGGATGATAGCAATATATATCATACCAGTGTTTAACTTGCTCTGAAATCAAATCTCTTAAAGTAGAAGAATTAACTTATGTAAATAAACACAAAGCTGAGGTCTAGTCCTCAAATACAGGGATACATGTTATCAGTACAGCCAAAACATTTCTTTCCAAATTTGCTTTTTTTAAATGACCCTTTAAGGGAATCAAGGAAAAGTGTAATGATGTCCCATTTTAAACATATACTAAGTTTTGAACATTTTTTGAATTTTAATATTTGACACTCCACTCCCCAACTATTGTACTAAAAAATAAAACAGTATCTGTACAGACACGGTCTCTCAATTTCCTTCCATAGTAGCCTACTCTGCTAGTAGCCTATAAAAGTAGCCTGTTAAGTATCAAGTTATTTCACCTTTATATACCAGCAGGAAAACAAATTTAGTTACATTTTATCACATCTTGCTTTTAAGTACCTTGTCAATAAACACTGGATAATCTTTTGAAACCAGAGTCTGGCATGTTTCCCTGTTTCCAATAATCTTTCTGAATTCAAATATTCTGTTGAAAGGAAACAAGTAGAGAAAATTCGGCTTTTAATCTAAAAAAAAGAGAAGACGTATTTATATAAAATGTCAGGAGCTAAAGTAAGCCACAAAGAAAGTAAGTTATGAAGCCAGCTTTCCATATTAATCAGGCTCCCATAGGGTAGGTATGTAAGGATGCTTTTAAATTAAAGCAAATAAGCTCAGGTACCTTGGCGGGGAACAGAAGGTTAAGGGGCAAATCTGGTTGCTTTCTTCTGCTATTTAAATGGGCTGCAGAGCCACACAGAACAAAATGAAACAAATCTCTTCTCAGAGGTGTACAGTGAGAGGACAAGAAGCAGTGGCTGAGTGTTGCAATGTAACAAATTCCTACTGGAGCACAGTGAAAGATTTTTTTCACAGTTGAGCATATGAGAAGATAGCCCAGGGAAACTATAAATAATCTTCATCCTCAAGGGACTTTTAAAACTCAAATGAATGAGGTGACAATTGAATTGAAGAAACAAAATTCAGCTTTGTCTTAAACAGAGATTTTGACTAGATGTCCACAAACTGGCCGTCTCGACCCTAAATACTCTACGCCAAGAATAACTTGCTCATTCTTATGGTTGTAAATATACATTACCTGATCAACGGGAACAGTTTTGGGTGAAAAGTACAGACTAACAGTGTAAGGGGAACAACCTGTTCACCTTGCCAACACCAGAAAAAACCCAAAAGGATGGAAAGAAAATCCAATTTACCACCACATCAAAACCAGCTTTACTATATAACCTTTGCTTTTCTTATACAGAATTGCAAGTGCATTAAATATTTCTGAGAAAATAAGGGTAAAGGTATGAGACATTGAGTGTGGAGGGCAAGCTAAATGAAGAGATGTTTCGTTTGACACTAAATCCTCTAAAAATACTGCATTTATGTGTTTTTTTTGTAGTTAGGAGGCTATTGACGGCTCAGTCTTGCATGTGTTGAGAAATTTCAACTCTTGCAAATGAGAACAAAGCATGAGGATTTTAACATTCATCACATCAAGGGTGTGCACATAAATCTTCAGATTACACCTAGGGTTTGATAACATTAAAATGTCCCATTTTGATTACACACACAGAATAGAATACAGAAATGCTGCAATCAAAATAACACCCACATTTCTTGGTTATTCCAACACAAGTAAACTAAACTTTTTAAAAAGCCAACATTCTCATTTTGTAGGAAAGCCTGCCACTTTAGAGAAAAATCAACTGGAGACAGATGCACAAAGCAAACTAAGTGCAATTTCTAGATCAGATCTTTCACTTGAACTTAAAAGCAAAAACCAACTCCCCCGTAACTCCACTGCTATCCACAGTGCACAAAATCTTATTTCAAGTTTTCTTTATTGATTTTCAAATACATAAAAAATAGCTTATTAAATGTAGATTTATCACTTCCTATTTAAATACTGCACAATGCAGAATATATATATTCCGTCACTTCATTTTTACACTTAAGAATATAAGTCCTTAACTTCCAGGTGTTACTCTTAATAATAATTAATAAAAATAATGAAATACTTAAAAATTGAGGAGTACTTACATTTTTTCTTACTTTCAAGACATCTAAAAAGAAAGAGTTTACTACTTTGGGTTATGAGAGAAACTTCTGATTAAATCTAACACTTTTAAAATTCATTAGGAAGTTACAAAAAGATAGCAAGATCCTCTTTACTGTTAAACAGAATAATTCCTTTGCAGATATTCAACAAGTTTTGTTTTTACAAAACACTTCCAGAGATGCTGTTTGAAGAATGTCATCATATATGCATAAGTGAAAAATTTAATTGGACACCCATTCTCTCAAGAAGAGCCTCTTTAAACAGAAACATTTAACAAATCCCTTTAAGACATCTTTTAAATCCAGTTACTCCCTCGGTATGGAAACACATGATTTCCTGAACAAAACAAACTTGGGAACATTTTTGGTATTTTAAATACAGGATAGGAACAACTGTTTATACTTCAAGGTTTGGGGGTTTTTTCTTTTAATATAAAGTAGTGTTTATGTTGTTGTTTTTTAACAAGTCACCTTTTCAGATCCTCTGGCTTTCCCCATCCTCTAATGAAAAGTTTAGTGAGGAGGAGCTTTCTGTATAAGACATCTAATTTACTTACACCCATTAGCAGCAAACTGACATCTAGAAAAAAGCACAGGTAAAAACAAGATAGTTAAAATGGGTTTTTAACATGAATGGCAAGTTCATTCACTATAACACAAAGTAGTTTCTTATTTTGGTTTCTGCATTTTTAATTTTTCATTTATAAGAAAGAAAGAAAACGTAGTTCCAGTCACTGTTACAGAAAAAGGTTACTTTTGTAACCTTGTCTTCACTGGTGTCTTAAACACATATCCTAATCCTTATTTTATCCATTCATTTCCAATTTTCTCCACTTCTAATGGTTTTCAAAGTGATGCTCCTGCCACTCCCTTCAGGAAAGAAATCACACCATCCAAATCCTTGCCAGTAACATTTCTCTTTCAGCAAATACTCTAGATCAAATACAGCTAAGTCCAATGAGATTTTGGGCAAGCTATTATTTTCAAATCAGTACTTACTGAAGTGAACAGGGAGCCACTACTGAGCTCTTCCAATGGGGAAGGATAAAAAAACCACCACAACAAAAAAGGAGAACTCAAAATTGGTTTCTTGGTCAGCAGGATACAGATTATTCAATTAAAAAAAAGGTCCAGGATCTGTGTACACCTAAGAAAACAACAGATTTAATAATCAAAGACTTTGTTAATAAGTTCATTTCAGTAATTTTCTAGTATTTCCAGATCCCTCCATACTAAATGGACTAAACAACCTCATCACACTTCAAAATAGTGTAATTTAATTTGTGTGGGTTTTTTTTTATTTCATTTTAATCCAAATGCATTTATTCTGCCACACTCTAATATGGTCATTCTTAAAGTAAACTTGTTTGAGTATAACAAGTTAAAATTGTGGTCAGATTAATAAAAACATTCACCTGCAGTTCTAAAGAATGAATATTCAAGAATCAATAGATAGGAAAAAAATAGAACTCTAACACCTAGAACAAGTTACTATCAAAGCAGAAATTATAGACTATTTAAGGTACTTGAATACCAGAAAAAGTGTCTTAGAAAGCCACAATGGCTCTAGGATGGTTCAGTCATTACAGGGTAAAAATAAATACATGAAACGATCAGAAAGTCAAAGTGGGGACCTTCTATTTTAAAAATGTAGAAATTGTTAGTTCCTACTCCACTAGACCCCAAAAGCTGACTGCGTAACCTCATTATTCTGATCCACGTCTGCTTGGTCTAATAGAATCACAACCTCAATATAATCGTTTTCCTTGCCCACTCTGGAGATATCCATTGATTTCACATGCTGTTGGGGCGTCATATGGGAAATATTTGCTCACTGCTGCAAGGTCTCTCCTCTGTTTTTTGGAGCAGGGGGATAGCTTGGTATTTTCAGGGTGCTGGAAGAGAATTGGGTGGTAGAGACAGGAGCAGCAACAGAGTGGACCCTCTGGGAGGCTGGGAAGACAGTTCAGAGCAAGAACACACAAGAGTAAATCTATGTTGCCAAAAATACACTAAAACTGGCTTTGCAGTTCTATTGGTACACTGCTTGCCAGCAATTGTGAAAAGGAAACTCAATGTTTCCATGCTTAACAAAGCAGCCCTGTATGTTTTGTTTGGTTGATTGTTGTTTTGTTTGGTTTTTTTTAAATCCTCTCCAAAACAAAAGCCAACCAAGAGAGAAGACATGAAGATGTGGATTTTGCTTTGAGCTCAAAGTCTGGCCTGATGAGCTGTCTGCTGCACCAAGGAAATGCCAAAATAACTTTCTAGACAAGTGCATTATATTTAAATGCAACACTGATTGAGGCAAAAGGATTGCCTCATCCTCTGTTTCATTGATTGAATGAAGACTCTGAAGTAACTCAGGACATTTCAATTAATCAGAATCAAAATTAAACCACTACTGGAAAGAGTACAGGAAACACTAAAAGAAAAAAAAATATTTCTAGTAGATGAAGTATGTTGTATAGAATTTCTCAGAAATATTATTGAGACAGAATAGGGGCCATCCCCCCAAATTTTTAATCTCCGTAACAAAAGGGTAGGACATGCTTCTGTCACTGCCCATCCACATCTACATGGAAAGGCAATTACAAACACTTTTACTGTCAGAAAAGGCAAATCCAACTACTGGAGGCTGAAGGATCATAACTTCACATTAACGAGTGTATTAGAGTAGTGAGAGTTTGATGAAAGAGTCAGCAGAGCTTGTTTCAGAATGCGACTGGATTTCCGCCACTTGATAGCACACCTGTCACCTCCCGATCCCTTTGTAAGACAAGTCAGCTGGAAGCAGTGACCTGATAAAGATGCTGCAGAGTTCTGTAGCCCAAGAGACACTATCTGTGTTATGAATCTCAAATGAATGTACTGTTACCATGGTAAGCTTTACATAATTTTGAGTTGTGAGTGGAAATTGCAGCAGATAAAAAACCACAGTAAGAAGTGATCCCTTTGTTTTAAAATTGTGTTTTTCAGAGAAGATGACAAGGAAAACTAGAAATAAATTATAACCAGGCTCTTGCTCTAGGAAGAGGTTTTGCTTCCAGAACCCTCATGCTGCACACTAACTATAAATTTTTGGCATGCACATTTATTTCATAGAAACAGACATAAAAATTCATTAAAAATCCAACACATAAAACATCAGCCATCTCTTTCTATCCAGTGCAAGCAACTTCAGCTACAAGAACATCCCTGGAAAGTCCATTAAGGACAGCCCAGAGTGCTGCTTCTATACTATAAATGGACGTGAAACAGCTCCCAGCAAGAAGTCAACCTGAAAAGGCCACGAAGGTCTGTTTTAGAACGCTGAATCCTTAACTTCCCTACCCTACGACTTTATTTAAAAATATCTCATCCAATTAACGCCAGGTCCTTTTCTCGAAGAAATGATTGTTTAAAATCAAAGAAATCACAGAGAAGTCACGGCGACAAATCAGACACAAACCCCACAATGATTCCACACGACAGGATGGACACAGAGGAGCCTGAGGATTAAAAAGGAGGCCAAAACCAGAGGCGTGAGCAGCTCCCTGCACCCACAGGGCTCAGCAGACGCTGACTGGGGCTGCAGGTGGGGCTCCCAAACCCAAATTCCCCCAGGCCCGCCCTAGAGGACCAGATGCAGCACCTAACCACCAGGGCGGCAACGCCTCCCGGGAAGCTCGGGCGGAGGAAGGCGGGGGGCAAGCAGAAACCGTGGAGTAGTCACTGCCGCGGCGGCCCCTACCGCCCCCTCAGCCCCCCGATCACCGAGCCCGCCCGCCGGGGCGGGCAGTGGGCCATGGAGGGGGACCGGGCCGGCGATTGCCTGCTCTGAGTGGGCCGGCGCTCGGAGACCGCGACCGCTGGCTCACCTGATGGCGGGGCGGAAATTGGCGACGTCTACTGGCTCGGCGCGTGCCCGGAAAAGGTCACTGCCGCATGCTCCGACCCGGGCTTGCCGGTGGCGGCACCAACATGGGCGGACGGGGAAGCGGAAGCGGAATGGGGGGACGGAGGAGGGGGACCGGGGGGGGCCGGGGAGGGTGAGAAGCGCGGGAGCGGACACGCGCCTGCGCGTAGCAGTGGCGAGTGCGGCGGGCGCAGCGCGCAAGGCGCTCGAGGGGGCAAGGGGGCACCCGCTGGGAGGCTGCTGGCCCCGCCCTCTGGCAGGCGCGCGTGACGGCCCGCCCCCCCCTTCTCCGTGTACGCGCTCCCGGACGTCGGCTGGGCGGCGGTCGGGCCCCGCGCTCGAGCCCCCCCAGTGGCGGTAACGCGGGGCGCGGCATCTCTTCCGCTTGCCCCCTGCGGCCCGCGGGGCCGGGGGGCCGGAGGCGGCCATGGCGTCTGCGTGACTCGCGGCTGCGGACGGGAAGGAACCTCTGCTCGGGGCCGGAGAGGCGGCGGCGGAGGGAGAGGAGGACGAAGAGAGCAGGTAAGGGGCTCGTTCTGCTCTGAGGCGGCGCCGGGCGCTGGAGCGACACCCCTGCCAGTCACCCGAGGTGCCGCCCGTGGGTGCCGAGTCCCTTCCCCACCTCGCACGGGGAGCCCGGTTCTCGAGGATGCTTCCCGGCCCGGAGGGTGGACACGGAGGAACTGAGGAGAGGAGAAGAGGAGCCGGAGGATAAACCGACCTAGCCGCCGTCCTCAGGCGCTGCCGAGCCTGGATCCGCGGTCTCAGAGCGTCCCAGGCCCGGCAGCGGGAGCGCGGCGGGGGCTGGTTCCTTCTCTTTGTAGAAAAACACAACCCCACTTGAGAAGTCCCTAAAAACCACCAAAACAGTGGTGCAGAAGTCTGGGTATTTAATATCAGCCTTCACGTGCGGGCAGGATTTGGTCACTTGGGGGTTTTTTCCTTCTGACAGCAAAACTTGAGCGGGTCTTTGCTTTAAGGTCTGTGCTGAAACGCTCTCAAACTTTAAGCTTGATGTAACTAAGGTCTCAAAAGTAACCAAACACAGCATATGCAGGTGTTTGGCAGAATTCTCCCTATCCGTGATGGGCAATAAGATGGCAAAGTACATTTAGAAACTTCGTTTGTGTGGTTAAAGTATCATTGAACCAAGGCACTTAATGCTGTAAACATTTCTGAAGAATTAAATATACAAATCATGCTGTGATTAGTATAATACTAAGATACCAGTAATATGTTATTAGTATTAGTCACAGTTACATTAGTTTTAAAATTGCAGACATGCCTAAGTCTATGTATGACCTATATAAACTGTGTTTATAAACCGTTCAGACCTCTATAACCTAAGTCTACATCTTTTGGGCAGAGATTATTTTAAGTTTGTAACTTGTATTTGAATTTTTTTTCAGCCTCTACAGTCTTCAGCTTATCTTTTACACAGTGTAGCTTTTACACTGTATTGTTATTTTCTCATTGTGAGAACAGACCAGCCATAGCTTTTAGTCAAATCAATATTTGTTGAATTTTGTGGTTCTTTCAAGGTCACAATTGTGAATAGATGTCTGGGGTTTTATAGTTTAATTCACACTTCTTAATGCCTTTATATGACATCTGTGATGCTCCAAAGTGTCTGTACAAAGAGTTTGCAGAATTGAAGACCTCTCTAAATAAAGATCTCTTTGTGTAACGTTTATTATATGATAGCATTTCTGTTATTTTTTTGATTTGTAAGTCTAGTATTTTTCAGAAGAAAATTCTTTGTAGTCTTTGCTGAGCAGAAATCCAACTCCTGCATAACAATTCACACAATTGTATTGAGAGGTTTGTGAAAAATGTTTTCAATGTCCTGTGGGACCAACTAGAAGAGGATCTGATAATGATTTCTTTCTTTCTTGACTTTTGGTTTGAAAACAGGGATGTTGTGGAAACTCAAGAGCATTATAAGAGCAGGTGGCGATCCATCTGGATTATGTACCTTACAATGTTTCTCAGCAGTGTAGGTGAGTAAACACATGTGGATTTAAATGTTATTTGTTTAATGAATATACTTTGGTTTGAAAATTACAGGGTATTCTAGCTTTCAACTACGTACCTTCTTTAATGCTACTGCTCTTTTATAACCTCAAAAAGGTGCATTTTGTGATTCTTCAAAAGAGAAGATATGACTAGCAAATCAAACAGAAAGTTACATTTAGTGAGATAAGTTAACAGATGACTGTTTTGAGACTAAGTGACGTATTACATAAATCCGTGGTTTATGACTTATTATAGTTCGGGGTAAAAGATAGTGGCAAGGTAAAGTCATTGCTCAGAACTGAACAAAACAAAGGTCACACTTTTATCATTCAAAGTGAAACGTACAGATATCAAAAACAAATAATGCAGAGTTCTTGAGAGGGAAGATCTTTATGGGAATGTATGTTATCTATTTCAAAATATGTATCAAAACGTGTTTTCTCCTACAGGACTTTGCATCTCCACTGCAGAACAAATTACCATTTTATTCGTAATAGATCCCCCTGGAAACAAGAATTCTGTTGATTTTTGACTTGTGGTGATTTTCTGTGGGCCTAGAAATTATCTTGAAAATCATAGAATATATGAGTAACTTTTTTTTTTAATTTGATCAATTAAAATTTCTTTTACTAATGAATACAGATATGTCAGTATATCAAGAAATTCTTTTTACTTTGGGGACCTTGTTGTCTTTCTTTTGAGAGTTTTTTTGTTCAGTGTGTATAAAATGTGTATATATAAAATGACCTTTTAAAAATAGTTCCTCCTGTTAGGAGGAATTATCACTCCTTAAAAAAAGCATAGTTTTTTTCAGATGACAAACTGATGCACAGGTTTAGACTATAATACACTTAGAGGCAAAAGAATGAACCTGTAATAACTGTTTCAGTAAAGCAAATTACTGATAAAAATGGCAAATAAAATAACTTGGGTTATGTTTTTATTGTGTTACAGGTTTCTCCATTGTAATTATGTCTGTGTGGCCATATCTCCAAAAGGTTTGTAAATATGTTTTTCTTGATGGATAAGAACAGAAAAATTGTGCTCAGAAAGTAGGTGAAACAAAACTTAGGCTTTTATTTAGGAAAAGAAAAAGTAAAGGGAAGTGTGTGGTTATAAGAGACTTTTATTCTGCCATCCACTTAGACAGCTTTTATTATTTCTTTTAAAATCTGGTCAGTTGATTTCCTGAATTGATAAAAGGTACATTAGAATCCAGAAATGTTTGGTTTTTCAGTATCATGTCACTGTTTTGTTGGAGAGTGAATCAATAGAAATCTCTTTATTAAAACAGAATACATGTGACTTGTCTGCATTTTGGAAAAAAAAAAAGAAAAAGGAAGCTAGAGGTAGAAGTTGCTCTGTAAATGTCACATTGTTGCACATAGATCTTGATATTCCTAACAGGGAATTGCCATTGCTCCTGGATAGTGATTTTAGTTTGTATGGGATGTTTTCACCTCTTTGTTGCGTTGTTAAAAGTGGCATAAAAGTCTCTAAAACTTTAATTTAATCTGCGCTAGGATTTTACTGCTCCTGGAATTGCAGAAGGCAGTTTCAAATGCAAATCTGGAAGAACATATCCTGAGCAGGGTCGTAGAGGTATCATTAAAAGTGAGGCTGGTGCTGAATTCTTCCAGAAGAAAATTCATTATCAGCCCTGTAAATCAGGACAGATTCAGGCATGTGCAGAGATGATTGAAGTGATTCCTTGCTCCTGGCATGTAAACTGTCTACTGTACTGCTTAAGTTATGTCTGTAGCCTAGAACATCAGCAGTGCTGTACAAAAACTATTAGAGTTTGCTGTAAGTGAGCCCTTTCCAGTCTCGGAAGCAAAGCATTGGTTTGGTGCATTTCTGGAGAGAGTTATCCAAGGTTTATTGCTCCAGACAAAGTATTACAGTACAGAGTCTTGGGTATTCCAAGTACTAATTCTAAAAGGGTGTTATTGATAATATAAAACACTGTAATACTTCACCCACAGTACTTATTAATGTGTTTCTGCAGATTGATCCGACAGCAGACGCAAGTTTTTTGGGCTGGATTATAGCTTCATACAGCATTGGCCAAATGGTTGCCTCTCCCCTGTTTGGCTTGTGGTCCAATTACAGGCCCAGGAGAGAACCTCTTGTCATTTCAACTGCTATTTCAGTAGCTGCTAATTGTCTCTATGCCTATGTCCATGTACCTCACTCACACAACAAATACTACATGCTGACTGCACGTGCTCTCGTGGGATTTGGAGCAGGTAACCACAGCAGACTTTACTTTTCTGAAAATTATTACATTCTGTCTCTCATGTAAGATAGTTAGCATCATATTTCAGTACCAGTAGTAAAAATACTGGAGAGTTCTGGGTTTTATTTTCTTGCAAAATAAGGAAAAAAACCCTAAAATAAATGTCACTCAAGATTTTAACAATATAACTTAATATTTACATGAATACTTCCTTGGTTTTGTTTGTTTTGTTTTTTTTTTAAGGAAATGTGGCTGTAGTTCGATCGTATATTGCGGGTGCCACTTCTCTTACAGAAAGAACAAGTGCCATGGCCAACACCAGTGCCTGCCAAGCGGTTGGATTCATATTAGGGCCAGGTAAGGCATATCTTCTTCCCTCACTTCTCTAATTCTTATTAGGATGAAATTGGGCATTGGAAGTAGGAATCCTCAGCAGCTGTATGGTGGGGATATTAAGACATAGTTTGTCAATGGTATCAGAATTAAATAAATAGTCATCAATACAGTCATCCATACTTGTGTATGCCAATCTAAATGAAACATTCTAGTTCAATTGCACTGCTCCAGTTTAAATTTTAATTTTACCCCCCCTCCATGCTTCTTTTCTCTCTAGTTTGCCCTTAGCACGAGGAATACTCCATTCCCGGGACCAAGGATTTTCATGTAGGAGAAAGAGGAAAAAAGTAAATCAGCTGTCTGCCAAGAAAATTAACCCTTGGTACACTCAGAATTCAGTTCTTTATTTTATTCTTTATGATGTTATTTATACAGTGTATCTGTATGTAACCAAGTAGTTTTCTGGCTAGTTGAGACCCCACTGGCATCCATCAGTTTATTTAGAGTAGGATTCTCAAAATGTAAGAGGTTTGACAGGTATAATATTTAAATTTTATTTGGCACGTAGAACAACTTTGCTTATCCAGTTTTATATGTTTATTCTACATGTGTTCCAATATTAATGAGTCTCAAGATTTTCACAGTACATTCATGTTTTCAAGTTTTTCAGACATGTTTTACACTTATTGGAGAAGAAGGAGTAACATGGGAATTAATTCGTCTTCAGCTGAACATGTATACGGCACCGGTTTTATTTGGAGCTCTCTTAGGAGTTATTAATATTATTCTCATCTTTGCCATATTCAGGTAATCAAGTAAAAAAAAAAATTTACCTTGTTTTTGTGGGTAATTTGTAGCAAAGAATATGCTGCTCAGCAGGAAGAGTAATAAATAAACTGAAATCTGGAGTGCTAAAACTATAAGCTGTTATTTATTTTTTCGGTGTTTCTACATTCTTTAATATCTATATTTTCATTATGCTTATAAATCAGTCGTGGTGATATTAACAGTTAGAATGTAAATGGATTAAAAAACTTGAAGCTTGTGGACGAGTAGCTTAACGTTGATACAATTTTAGTGTTGATGGTTCCTGCCCATGTTTTTTATCTAAAGCAAAATAAGGTTGGCTTGTCTGTAGGAATCTCACTGTTTTTGTCTTTCCTTTAAGAATCTTGAGGGGGGATTTTTATTAATTATCCCACTACTGTAGATGCATACGGATATGTGATGATCTCTCACTAGAATATTTTCTTTCTTGAACAGGATGGTGTTCACTGCAGTCAAATGTAAGCTTCATAAATGATGTTTAAGGGAGCTGGGAATAATTATCATATAGATGATGCCATTTACAGTTATTTTAATAGAAACTTGACTCAACAGTAGATCAAATAAATATGTGTATTAATGAAAACAATTCTAAATTTCTAGGGAGCATCGAGTGGATGACATGGGACGGCAGTGCAAAAGTATTAATTCTGAAGGAGAAGGTACCCATGTTTTCTTGAAAACTTCTTGCGTGATTATAATTTTGAAGTACTTTCTTATTATTAAGCATTTAGAAGTATTCTGATGCATTGGAAACTTGAAGTGGAAAATAGGCTACATATCTCTCTGACTGGTCCAGAAATTGTTTCACATCCATGTTGTATCCATGGTGCTGTCAGGTAGCAAAGAAGAAAAAAAAATTGTATGGATCCTTTCACTGAGAATTCTTCTGTGTAGCTTTGACCTTGCAAGAGCAACAAGTGTTTTGGTTTCCACTGATAAGATATTTAAAGTAGTTTGCTTATTTTGCTCTCACTCAGGACTTGTCAGTCACTAGGAAAACAGATGGGGTAACCAATTTGGAAATAATTTTCTCTAATTGTGAGAAGAATTGAAGTTTCAACAAGTTGATTTTGATTTAAAAACTTTATACTTAGATTGTCAAAATATAACTGCTTAGCTGCCCACCAAAGTGCATGTTAAATACTTAAGAAACTAAAGGAATCATTACTGTTTGTAATTTGTGGCAGTACAAAAAAAGCTCAGCTTGCAGTTTAGATAATTCTTTTGTTCTGTTGCAGAAAATGATGCCCTGGATCAGGACACAGAAGGAAACGTTGACCATGTTGCTGTGGTAGCACTCAATGTTCTCTTCTTTGTCATCTTGTTTGTGTTTGCTGTCTTTGAAACGTAAGTTTGTATATTTTCTCTCAAAATACTTAGACATGTAAGGTAGTTAGATTGGGGGTGCATATAAAGTCTTTTCTGTTCCACTCATTTTCTTAACCAACTCTTCATAAATATAAGTTCAAAACCATATATAATCAGTTTGATATGTACTGATACAAAGTAATGAATTAAAGGCTAGCATAAAAATATGTAGTCTGTATAGGAAACATTAATGTAAAAGCTTTTAATTGGAGACAAACCCATATCCTCAATTTCTTAGGTGTGTTAAAAAAGATAGCTTAACTTGGGCTACCTAAAATCCTTAGAGAAAACCACGTCTTCAGTTGAGTATCTTGTTCTATACTTTTTATTTTAATTTTGTGTAATTTCTTAGTATGATTCTGATTAGCTCCAAAAGCTTCAGTGAATCTCTTACTTCAGTAATAATTAAAACAATTGTTTCATATAGTTAATGCAATTGTATTCTTAAATACACTATTTTATATGACTGGGCTTTGTTTACCTGAAGAGGTATGATATTCACTCCCAAATTTTCTGTGTGTAAGAAAATAAGTAAAAAATAACAAAATTACCTCAAACTGAGGTGTACTTCATTTTTTTAACTTACAAAATACTTTGAGGATATAAGTTATTCTACAAGTTTTTTGAGCTCTGATACGGCTAAAATTTCTTTTACAATATGGCTCATATTGTAAATAATGTCTTAATTACATTATTTTTAGAAAACTGAATTCCTAGAAATTGGTTGGCTCCTAAAACTGAAAAACAGTATTAAAAGCTTACTATTTTTATACTCACAGGGTCTAGTTGTTTTTCAATCTCTATTACTCTGGCTTGGCTTTAACTCCATCATCTTTTTGTGAACTATTGGAAATAGATTAATGATGCTTCAGAGTATGGCTGCTATAATGCAGTTGTGAATTTTGTCTAGTGAATTTAATTTTAATAGATGATGCATGACAGAATTATTTTATAATTAGCCTGTGTTTTCTGATATGTCCATCAAGAGGAAAGGTTTCTATACCACTGTGTTTGATATTTGGGACAATATGTGTATGGAAACAACCGTATAGAAGCAACTTTTTTTAATTACTGTATTTTTGTTCTGTCATTTTAGTATAGCTACTCCATTGACGATGGATATGTACTCCTGGACAAGGAAAGAAGCTGTTTTCTATAATGGAATAATCCTTAGTGTGATTGGCATTGAATCAGTTATTGTTTTCATGGTGGTTAAAATGCTATCAAAAAAGTAAGTTTTTGGAATTTTTTTATTATGTTAGTAAGTATGAAAAGCTTTATGGCAAGGCCAAATCTCTGTTACTCAAATCTTTCACTTGGTAATGTGTCTGGGTGTACTATGATAATGAAGTACTTCCAATTTTGGCACAGCCATGATGTTGTGGTTGTTCTTTATTCTGTTAACATAACCCCGTTACTTGACTGTCTTTTACACTTGAATCCTAAGAAAAAGAGGTTTTAAGTTACTGTGATTTTGTAATTTTTCTTGCAGATGTTTTGGTCAGGTATCATTTCTACAAACTAATGGACTATGTCATTAGCAGCGACATAAATTTTAATTTAAATTATACATTTAATTGCAATTTTGTTGTTGGATAGGACTGGTGAGCGTGCCATACTCCATGGAGGCTTACTGATTGTCTTGGTTGGATTCTTTATCTTACTGCCTTGGGGGAAGAAACTACCAAATATCCAGTGGCAAGGTATAGTTCAAGTCACACTAACCGATCTTCGTAATTTTTTTTTTAAGCTTTTTTGTATTTTTGTTCTTAACTATATGGATAACTTATTTTTACAGAAATAAAGAATAACTCCATTCCCAGAACAGTTCCCACCGAAATGTTAATGCCTTTCTGGAGTTTGCAAGAGATGCAGCTGCCATCCAACCACACAGCAGAACCCGTGGGCTGCCCCCTCACACAGTCCTGGTGCCTCAATACTCCGATGGTCTACCTGGCCCAGTACCTCAGTTCTGATGTGCTCATAGGATTGGGCTATCCTGTTTGTAATGTCATGTCCTACACTTTATACTCAAAAATCCTAGGACCAAAGCCTCAGGTAAGCATGATCCCTAAACAGTTTTATTTCATTTGCTCTCCAAGACTTACACCCTCTTCATTAGAATGAAGGGTCTACTTAAAATTCCTTTTGGCATCAGCCAAATAATAGTGCATTTCAACCAGGGTAGAACTTTGCGGGAACTCTAATCCCTTAAAATCCAGGGCAAGTCCCTAAAGGAATTAGAAAGCAAGGCTTATGCTATTTATGCAAATCTTAGAATGTGAAAATTTCATGGCTTTTCTGGAAGAATCATTTTTTTAACAACTCATTATATACTTGGAATATCAGTATGGAATAATGTTCCTCTTACTAAGTTTATTGTATGACTATAATTGTATAAATGCTACTAATGCCCCCAGTTATTGATATTTTATAGTGGTAAAACACCTAGCAAGCTGATATTACTGCTTAACAAAACATTTTATAATTTTTTTACATTTTTTTTCATGTTATATTTTGGTGAAAGAGACTAAATGCTTTGAGTCAGAATGCATTTTATTGGAAAGCTGTAGAGTATGTATGAGTGGAGTCTTTGAATTAGTGCTTAGAGAGGCTGAGCACTACTCTTGGAAACAAAGTAATCAGTATTTTAATGAGTTAAGAAAGATAAGTGATTATTTAAATACTTTTACATTTTCTGATTAGGATAATGGTTGGAATTACTGGCAAGCCAAATAATTCCTGTATCACTAACCTAAGCTTTTGATCTGCTGTAGGGTGTCTACATGGGATGGTTAACTGCCTCTGGAAGTGGAGCACGAATACTTGGGCCTGTTTTTGTGAGCCAAATATACACTCACCTGGGACCACGCTGGGCATTTAGCTTAATCTGTGGAGTAGTTGTACTCTCTCTCTTACTCTTGGAGATAGTGTACAAGAGACTAATTGCATTTTCTGTCAGATACGGAAGGATGCAAGAAGAGAATTGTTAGATATGCATTTAAAGAAAAAGTAAAACAAACCAGAAGTAATACTTAGTTTATTACTGCTTTTTAACAAGGAGTACATAACCACTGACCTTGTTGGCTGCGTGCTAACAACTGTACACCTGTACTTATGCATTGACAGAATACATAACTTGTTCATATCCCAATGTATGGTTACACCTGCTGCAGTAGAGCTTTTGTATTCTGCTTTTCTAGCAGCAGAGGAAGGGATGTGGCAGACTGGATCGGTACAATGGCACATTTGATGTGTTTACTGTTTAAATGATGCACCCGTGCACTGAATGCAGCTGGTCACAGGTTACGGCCATCCTTTCGAGGAAGAAGTAAAAGAAATGTTATCTTGATTCTGTGAATCAGGATTAGTAACTCTTTTGTAACTGCAAGATTAGTTGAGCTGCATGCACTTTGTATGGAGACATCACTACTTGAGCAAACCTTCTGATGTTTGGTTTGTTGGCTTGTAAGCACTGGTTAATACAGACTGTTTGATTCTGGACCTGTTACCTATTAGTACATCTCCAGGATTTCAAAGGAAGTGTGACAGAAGTGTAGAGGAGGGTAGATGCCCTCTGCAGAAGTAGTTTGTGTGGGATTTGGGTTTTTAAGTTTGTTAAGAGCAATTGAAAATTAGTATCAGGAGCTGTTATTTGAACCATGGTGAACTATATGTGCAATTTTTCCTCTCCTGTTTTGCTGATTGCCTTTTTGTAGCAAGAAAGATAACCTGCCCCAAGTTGAAATATGCACAGCTTTTCTTAACTACAAGAAGGAAAGACTACGCACAATACTTTACACTTTTGTTGTCATTTGTGAGAATGAATGCACTGTGCTGAGCGGGCGTAGTAATTAAGTGAAAGGAGAAAAGTCCTTGGGTGTTTACTCTTAAGACTTATACAGGTAACAAGGTAAAAGAGACAGAAATTTCCAACGTTTTAATTATTCAGAGGTTATTTTAAAAAGTGAAATTGTAATTTTCCCTCATAGTAGGGCCTAAGCTTTTCGATACAGGTTGATTTTAGCTGTTTTAATACTACTGGGGAAAAAAACCAGAATTACTCACTGGAGCAATGAGAGTCGTGGCTGCTGTTTAATGTCTCTACTATTTGATGCTTATTAAATGTAATAAGTGTAATTATGTATTCCTACATGTTCCTACATAATAAGTTGTTCAAACACTAAAAGACTACTGAATTAAAAGATGATTTTTCCAATACTGACTGAAGGAAATACAGAAGTCTTATTCCCTCTCAGGACTTGCCTACTGCAGAATCACAAAAGCTTATGAGAAAAGACTTCACTTTTATAAGCTTATTCATAATAAGTATTACCTCTATATCTTCCTTGATGTTCCTAGTGCTAAATTCATTTGCAAGCTATTTCCTTGATTTGGGCATGACAAAGTAATCCACGTTCTCTCTTTTAGACACTAGACGAATAAGGAGAACTGACTTGAATCAAGGCTAGTTTAGGTCTAAGCTGAGCTGTGCTTGCATGTAGCCACCACCAGCTCCTCTGAAACTCTTCATCCTCCCCCTACCAGCACCGTTTTGGATCTCACTCTCTCCTGCCTTAGAAGGAAGTCAAGAGTATTTAAGTACAGATATAAGCACCATCAGGAGTGTTGGCACACTTGAAGCAAAATGCTACTGTTAATGCTACTTCAGTTGTTTTAAGTGTGACTCAATGTGTAAGACAAGGTAAAGCTATCTAAAGTTAATAATTCCTACCAAGTAACAAACCAAATCAGTTACTATGGCATGTGTTTATTTTCCTATCACCTGTGCTCCTGGGTTTAGTGATCTGTAGGCCAGAGATAAAATATGGAATATACAAAGCACAGCACAATTTTTTAGTTCAACAAGTTAGAAGTAACTTTGTGCAACAGTTAAAGACTTGTCTCTTCCCAAGCTTCACCCAGCCCTAAATTCCCAACATATGATTTTCTCTAAAATACCAGCTCAGCTCCTGTCATAAGTTGAGCTTAATACTTTGAGCGCCTTTTCCTCTCACCGTTCACTTGATCATGAAACAAATAAATAGATCCAGACAATTACCACTGCATTTATTTTTTTTGTATCAAATGCTTGTGCAGGGAAGTTTAAGCTGCCGCTACAAAAAATAAAAAACAAGTTACAAAACATATACATATTTACAAATATTACTGTAACACATAAAAATATAAGTTATTTACAAATACTTCAACAGCACAGATACATTTTCCTTGACTGTTCACACTGAGTAAGCAGTGGGGCAAGAAAAAAAACACAACAGATTCAGATTATTTCCAAAAACTTAATGCGGTCAAACTTAATTGCTCTAAGTTTTGCTTGAGCAAGCATATCCATCATTTTGATGAAAAAGCATATTTTGTATGATACTTTATACAGAATTTGCTATACATAAACAGAGCAACCCTTCCTACCTTTCTATCAGATAGTAGAAGAATTTCTGCATAAACTGAGTAAGATCAGTCACTTTACTTAAAAGTCAGTGAGTGAGTTTATTAAGGTCTCATGGCGTGACACCCAGTTTGCTTTAATCAGTGAGGACCAGCTGGACTGGTAAACATCACAAGAATAGAAGACAGACAGTGCAGTTTCTCTTTGATGTATTCTGGCAACTTATCATTTTCTCCATACCTAGAGAAGCACAGCAACATAGAAAAATACAGATGCTTAAATAATTTGTTTTATTTTAAAATAATATAATTATTTCAAAACACTAGTTTTCTAACCTTTCCCGTTTTAAATATTATAAATAAATAGTGGCTGTTCTCCGGAGATCAAGTAGATGCATTTCCAGCTTGTTCTATTAATTTGTTATCCAGAGTTCAGCCAAAGCTATGAGTACTTCTCTTTATTTATTAAGATTACAGAAGCTAATCAACTGTGAAGTCATTGAAAAGCTAAGTTTTAATATTTACAAACCAAAATCAGCCTTGCACTGACCATTACCTGGACTATTTTATAGCAGGAACAGACTCACCTGGTTGTCTGGCCATCTGGAGATGTGTAAGTGACAGAAGAAACACCTGCTTGGGCTACCAGCTGGGATCCATCATTAAACTGAACCCACACTGCTCCACTGGTCAGCTAATGAGAGAAGTTGCATTACGGTTTGAGGATATGAAATACAAAATTACATACCTAGAATTTTTCTAATAATTGAAGCTGAAAGTTTTTCAGAGTTGCTGAAGGTACTTAGGTATCATGGTCAGTCTTTTAAAGATAAAGATTGCATGGATACTACTTTGGAGTAAGTAGTCTCATGTAAACTTCCTAAGGTTTCAGATGCTCAGCTTTAAGTCATCCTTTTCAATGAGAGTTAAAGAATTACCTTTAACTTAACCACTCCTTAAGAAATTTTGAATAGAACCAATCATAAAATAGAGGCCCATTTGTAAGAGTTCACAGCTATACACACTTTAAAGTTTATGTATATAAAGCAAACTTTTTTTCTGTTAGGACAGGAAGTTTTATCTGAATTGCCATATTTTTTAAACCTAAAGCTGCTCCCACAGAAAAGCAGAAGGAAAATGTCATTGTAAGGAAACAGCTTTTCCTGTTGTAGAGGCAGATTCATTTCTCTTGTACAGATCTGGTACATGTGTTAAAAATTCTTTGTTATGACACCTTTACATCTATATTAGTGAACACAACTTTAACAGTTTCAATTTTTTACTAGAGTCAAATTTAAATGACAGAAGACACTGAAATAGGCAATAATAGCCACAGAAAAATTTTGGTAACTGAAATACTAAACAATTATTTTGGTTTCTTCTACTTATGTAATTCACCATGGTATTTATCTAAGACACTTACTTAAAAGCATCTTTCCACATAGACATTTTAGATTTAAACTGTAGCAAAGCACAACTGAATGAATCCTCACAAATCAAGTTTAAAGTTAATGACTGACAAATACATATCTCAAATTTAATAGGAAAAAAAACCAGACTTCCCTCCTTTATCAGTATTAATTTCTCACCTGAGAAGCCCAACCAACATTTTTCACAAAGACAGATTTTACAAGTTGGGCTGAATTTGGACTGCATTCCATTTGACGAACAGAGGAGTACATAGTTTCAGCAGTGTTGATCATAAATGTAGGCTTTTCATACACCACCTAGAACCCAGGGATGCACAGAATAAAGCCTTAGTATTAAGCCCACTGATTATGTACCATCTTAGTGGTCAATTACCACCTGTTCATATATACAGACAGATTTAGCTTGTATGCTTCATTTAACAGCATTACAGTATAAAATCCCCACAGGATTTTGTAGGAGATCTCCCTGTAGTCACAAAGGAATTGCTTTCCCTACGTTTTCTACTTCAGTTGTGTTTTTACTGTCAGAAAACCCTGTCCAGCTTCAGCACAACATTTTCAGCACATTAGACTATAACGCAGCCCTCATTCAGATGACCACTCAGCTAATATTTTACAAAAGTACAGACATTGCTATTAATTGGAAACTAGAACATAAAACATTAATAGATGGGTTCTGTAGCACATACATAATCTGTTATAGGTTTAGAGAGACAAAAGCAATGAATTAAGGATAACAGAGGATCAAACGTCAGAGATCTTTAGGACAACACCACAACTACTCCCTACAAGGAAGATGTTCCACTACTCAGATACCTCCTCCCACAGTCACAGAGATGACAGAGATGAGGTGCTGTGCTTAGCAGTGTTTAAGATTCAGGTTCAGTGAAAAGATGCAAATCAGGGAATGCCTCAAATAGGAGAGTTTGGTCAGGAAAGAGATCAGGATCCAGATAATTACAGGAACCTGGAAGAAACAACAAGCTGTACACCTCAGGATATATAGATCTAGTTCAACTATCAAGGAAACTACAGATATAGTTCTTAAAGACTGAAATGTTTGCTGTATGGCAAATAGAGACTGAGTTTGAATGTTGAACCCTCAGCTTAGAACTCCAACGATAGGTAACCTTCAGTCAGTGTGAAAATCAATACCACTGATGAAGCCCTAAGGAATTTTTGTTGTCAGGTTCACCTTAGTCAAGTGAAAGTTGTCAGATTCTGCACTAATGACATGAGCTACACAATCAAAGAACACAGATGCAGACTGATGTAGATTCAACAAACTTCAGATGATACAAACTCAGTCTGCCGAGACCCCTGTACATATATATATATATATACACACATATATTTATTCCCCAGTCAGTTAAGGGAGTTTTATCAGGGCTGTGATGCAGGAACCAAAGTTTGGAGGGTCTTTTAAACAAACTAGATGAAATTGCTCACAAAGCCTTATTGGCTACCCATGTGTTTTCACTTACCCTTTTTTTATATACACACTAACACTTGATTATTTCAGAACAACAGCCTCAAGTGCCCAGAACCTTTGTGACTACCATTCAATATACACTGCTGAGGAGCTCTCAAATCAGAGACTGTGCTGTGTAACACGAGTAAGTAATTTTCAAACTCTGTTCCTAGGAGAAATTTGTGGTAAACTTTTGGAGTATTCTGATTTTTCCAATGATCTTAAATCCAGGTATCAAAAATTAACTGAAATCAAAGTCAACATTTCTAGTCAATATGTTCACAAATGGCTAATAAAAGCCTAGATCCGTACAAATGTAATTCCATTAGTTCAAATGAAAGAGCGATATTTGAATTCCTACAGGAGAGTAGTTTCCATGGTATGTTTTGTGTACTTACAGGAGTACAGTTTGGAGTCTGAACTGGAGTAGAACTGGCAGCCTTATTTCTATCCAGTGCCACAGCTTCTCTTGAACAGTTTATATTGTCCAACAGGGGAGGTGTTACAGCCTGTGGTGATTCAGTATTGCCAGGTTTTCTGGAAAAATAATGAGAAAAACTGGGAAAAGGTCTGTCCAAAAGGGACTCAAGAAACATATGAGGAGATGTAGCTTTTTCTTCAATTCCTTCAATTTACTACAGACTGTCCAAAGCACAGCAGTGGTCTTCTGTAGAATTGTTTTTACACCTGCTAATTGCTGGCCTGGTTTAGTCTGAATCCACAAGTGCATAGTATCTTGATATCAAAGGAGGCTCTGCAGGTCGAAAATAAGGTGTCCGTACATGCTATTAAGTTAATATTTGCTAATGACTGTAAGCTCTGTTAAGCAACCTTGGCTTCTGCAAACGTTTGCTGCATAAGGCTGCTGAATGGGAATATTCAAATACTTAAGTATTTTCAAGTGAAAGATACTACCTT